TTTGTCTTTTTTGCCTTGTAATTCTATCAGTTTTTGCTTTATGTATCTTGAAGCTTTGTTTTAGGTACATGAGTATATAGGGTTGTCATGTTCTCTTGATTAATCAACTCCCTTATTATGAAATGGCCTTATTTATTAACTGGTAATATTCTTTACTCTGAAATTGACTTAGTCTGATATGAAAGCAGCCACTCCAGATTTCTTTTAACTAATGTTAGCATGTTTTTATTATTTTCCATCCTTTTACATTTAACCTATTTGTGTCTTTATATTTCAAGTATGTTTCTTATAGGCAGCATACAGTTAAGTCTTACTTCTTTATCCAGTCTTACAATCTCTGCCTATAATTGTGATGTTTACACCATTTCAATTTAGTTTTATTATTGATGTAGTTTGTTTTTGAGTCTATCATCTGGTTTGACAAATTTATTGATGGGAGAGGGTGTGTAATATGTTTGGCCTCCTTGCCTGGGGGGCAGGGCTCTGAAGGGCTGTCTTAGCTCCCAAGCTTCTTATAGATTGGGCTGAGCCCTCTGCTGCAATTACACCATAGTTCAACTTAAATCTCTACCCGTTCCTGTTTCCCTCAAAGAGGTTGTTCCTGAGAGAACTTCCCAATAAAACTGTTACAGAGACTCAGAGTTTATATATTGAGGAGACCAACTTTAGACAATGACCTTGAAGATCTCCAGAGAAAGATGACCAACTTATAAATAGTATTGGGATAATCATTGTCCATACAAAAAAAAAGGAATTAGATCCCTACTCCATCATGCACAAAAACTTTTAGAAGAAAATGTGGGAGAATATCTCTATGACTTAAAAGTAGGAACAATTTCTTAAAGCACAAAAAATGCTAACTATATAAAAATTATACCAGCTACATTAAAATGAGAACTTCTGTTTACTAAAAGACACTAAAGAAAGTATGTAAAAAGATAAGCCATATACTGGAGGAAGATATTTGCAACATATGTAATAGACAAAGCTTATGCAGTAGAATATATAAAAAGCTTATTCAAATGAATATGAAAAAGAAAGATTATTAGTAAAATGGTCAAGCGATGTAGAAGAGGAGATACAAATGGCCAAGAAACATAAAAATGTGCTCAGCCTTGTTAATATCTATATAAGTGGGACTTAAAACCATTGGATATAATTTAATACCTAATAGAATGGCAAAATTTAAAATTTCTAATGTAACCAACTATTGAAGAGAATGATTATCAAAGGGAACTTTTATATACTGCTGAATGTAAATTGGCAATACTACTTTGGGAAAAAATTGTACTTTATTGTGTAATTTAAACTGCATGTACCTCATGATCTGGTAATTGCATTCTTAAGTACTGTACACGCTAAAGCAGTGTCTCAAATTTTAGTGCACTTATAAATCACTTGGGAATCTTAAAATGCAGATTCTGATTAAGTATGTCTGGGACAGGGCCTGAGATTCTGCAGCTCTAAAATGCTCCCAGGCAATGCTAACTCTACACAGCCAGCACACAGAGCACTGACTTTCAGACTTTTTGACTGTGACTTCACTGTAGAAAATACATTTTCAATCCCTATTTGGTACATACATTTGGAGTTAAAGATGTCTACGATTTCATCTGGTTCAGTCTCTCATTCCCAGCGAGAACCATTTCTACAGCATTATATACATTAATAGTTATTGTTAAGTCATCTGTCTTCTCTTTGACTAGTTCTGCTGAAAGAACACACTATTTCCCTGGACTGTTTGTTCTAGTGTCAGGTAGCTCCAAATGTTAGAAAGTTTCTTCCTCATTTTAAGCCAATGTTTGTTCATGATATTTCCAGACAGGACACTAAGTTCTACCCTCTATTCTAGCAAAGAAAAAAAATCTGTATTTTCTTGGCACAGTAGTCCTTCAGGTAATTTAATTATTGTAAAATCATAAGAGAAAGAAAAAGATGATAGTCAACTGTCTTCAAGACTGTATTTCTAGTTTTGGTTCTTGAATTGATTTTTAAGAGATCTTGAATTGTCTATTCTTCTGTTTAGCACATTTACTAATATATCACAAGCCAATGAATTTTGATTTTTTTGTATTGTAGGACACAAATATCTATTTGGCTGGCACGGAAGAAGGTCATATTCACAAATGTTCTTGTTCATATAATGAACAATATTTAGATACCTACAGAGGGCATAAGGTTAGTTTAATTACAGTGGGTATGGAAAATTTTATCTTGCAATATTTCTGAAAAAATAGTGCCACTGGATTGTATTTTTATGCAGTAAATTACAATTTCAGAGTTATACGTACCAATTTGAATTAAGTGCTTTCTTCTATAGAAAACACCAATAATATGTGGGACATTAAATCTGGCTTCTAGATAGCTTTGACTTCTTGCAAGTTTTTAAAGTCACAATTTTTATTTGTTTCTAAAAGACTTTGCTGATGATAACATGCTGATCCCAGAGTAAAACTGTCTCTGGCATGTACCCATTCTCTGCATCTTTTATGATTGTTCCAACTATGTTTTCTTCATTTTCTCCCTTATTTCGGTTTATTTTTCTTACTATTTCTTATATACTTTTAAATAGTATAGTATATAGCAACTATATTTTTATGTTTCTGTTTGGCATAATTTGGGGAAGAGATTCAATTCCTGACATTATTCTCAGCTAAAATAATACCCACACAATAATGCACCTTTTAGAAATCTGAGCATTTTAAATTTTTTGGTCAAATTTAAAGTATAAGATATTGAATACTACTTACCTATGTATTTTAATTTATTTTTCTAAATCTAGGGTCCAGTGTATAAAATAGCATGGAATCCATTTTGTCATGACGTATTCTTAAGCTGTTCTGCAGACTGGGGTGTTATTATATGGCAGCATGAGAATCTCAAACCATTTTTGAGTTTTTATCCAACTTCTTACGTTGTTTATGATGTTGCTTGGTCTCCAAAGTCATCCTATATATTTGCAGCTGCAAATGAGAGTAGAGTGGAGATTTGGGATCTTCACATCAGCACGTAAGTGTTAATATTTTTCTTGGAAATATTTCTGGTAGAAGCTGTTCAATCGAAATGATGCCTGATAGCTTTGATATTGGTTAGAAAGAACTATAGTTACTTTTAAAAAAAGTAATAGTTTACACTGTGAGAGTCCTTTAAGAGTAAAAATATATGCCAGGATGATATGTTAATGTTAATTACATATAGCATATGTAGTTTTAAAAATATTTGAATGAAATGTTACTTTACTCCATCTCCTCAAGCTTTTACAAGCTGATATAGGATATCATAACTACCTTAAATTCTTTCTCATTACCTGGTTTATGGAGGAATTCAGAGAGGCAGCTAGCTGTTCTTAACTAAAGACTTTCTATAATAAGATAACAAAAGGGAACAAAATAAATATTTTTATAATATTTACTTATTCTCTTCCCTTGTTTCAAAACATACTTGAAGGCACATGCATTTAATTAAAATTTTTGATTTTAAGTGTTACACCAAAGTTCTTAGAGTGTCATCTAGACCATCTATCCTTTTTTTCTCATTGAGTTGTAGTCAGTTTACAATGTTGTGCCATCTGTCCTTTTTAATATGAAAGTTTATACAATGCTGTGATAAAATGTTTAATGATTCTTCTTCCATCAATATTTCAATATTGGAAAATATCGTAGATCTTGTTTTCCAAGAAAACAATTGTAAAATATTGTAAGAAAGTTAATAACTAGTCTACAATTATTGGAAAATATTGTAGGCAAGTTATTAACAGAAGCAGCATGGAAAAATTTTCTTGTTTAAATGATGTAAAATTCAATGGGTTTATTCTTAATGGAAAATTTTTTTCCTAGGTTTAGTAAATTTGTCATAGCTTGTCCTATGAAACAGTTTGGACCAAAAATCAAGGATTGCAATACAAAGCAATTTATTTTTGAGTGTGAAATGACTAATGTATAAAATGGCTACTTAAACGATTCCACCTCTGATTCTGATTTTTTCCAGTAAAACTGTACTTCCCAGGGCAACATTTCTTCAGAAGCAGTATGCAAGTGACTACTTCCGTTGTTTTATAAGGGTGTTAGTAGATTGTTTTGGATGACCAAGAGTAGGAAAAGTTTTTGTACAGAGCATTCATTTATGTTCCACGGGTTCATTTGGATCAAAATATCCTTCTGTTAAAATATATTCATTGTTTAAGGAGTTGCATTAGGGATCTCTAGAGAAACTGAACCAACAAAGACAGACAGAGGGAGAGAGAGAGATTTAAAAATCTCCCTGTGTGGAGCCTGCAAGTCCCAAGTTTACATGACAGGCTGGCAAGCTGGAATCTCCATCAGAGGAGTCCATACTGCAGTCTTGAGTTCAAATGCAGTCTGGAGACAGAATTTTATTCCGCTTTAGGGTCCTCAGTCTTTTCTTTTAACGCTTTCAACAATTTGGATTAAACCTACTCACTTTGTGGCGGGTAATCTGCTTTATTCATAGTCTACTGATTTAAATTAATCATATCTTAAAAAAAACCTTCACAGCCATGTGTAGATTGATGTTTGACTCAACAACTGGGTACCATAGCTTATCCAAGTTACTACATAAAATTAATCATTGTAGTAGTTTAAATTATGAGTTCACATCTTAATTGTGAATTGCTTTAATTTATCTAGTTGAAATTAGTTTACTGAAAAAATGAAAGTTTTAATTGAATAAGGAGTGAGCAGCAGTTATTTTGATTTTGGAAACACATAAAGAAGCTTCTGGTTTTTGTTACATGAAATCACAAAAAATATCTCAGACTTTTTTAGTCTGTATCTAAAAAGAACATATTAACAGTAACTAAATTTACAAATAAAGTATTTCATTACAGTTTGGACCCCCTGATTGTGAATGTTGCTAACCCTGGAATCAAGTTCACAACTGTTCTCTTCGCCAAACAAACAGATTGCCTTCTGGTGGGAGACAGTGATGGACAAGTTGCTGTGTATGAATTAAGAAATATGCCCACTGGTTTGGAATCTAGCCGGGTAAGACTCAATAGTCAAAATTTTATGTCATCTTAGGATTTTATTCAGTTGTGATTTTGTGTCACACAAGAAGTTTATATTCCTTAAATATCTAAAGTGTGGTACAATGGAAAGAACGTAAGTCCCAAGAGTTGCTACCTACTAGGCATGGAACCTGCTTGGCTTGTTTTCTTTGAGCCTCATATTCTGTATCTATAAAATGATAGAATAACATTGTTGAGCAGGGTAATTATAAATGTTATATGAAAGAACTTAAAATTACGCCTTGGTTGGGACTGTTTACTGTAAATATGCAAAGACTTCTACAAGAAATAATATTTTTAGATATTATCCAATGTTCCTGAAATAAGCATTTGCTTCTGTTGGTTTAGCATTATCCAACTCCCACACTCTGACCTTCAAATATCAAAACTTTGTTGTAAAACTTTGAGAAGCAAATCAGTATCATTAGATGTCCATTATTCTTAAAACTTATTTTAATTAAATTAATTAATTTTTTACTTTTAAAAATTTTTAAATTGAAGTGTAGTTGAATTACAATGTTACATATCAGATGTACAACATAGCGATTCAATATTTTTTAGATTATACTCAATTTAAAGTTATTATAAAATATTGGGTATATTCTGTTTGCTGTATATTATATCCTTGTATCTTATTTATTTTATACCCAACAATTTGTACCTCTTAATCTCCTTCCCTTAGCTTGCTCCTCTCTCCACCCCTCTCCCCTCTGGTAACCACTAATTTGTTCTCTGTTATCTTTGATTCTATTTCTGTTTTGTTACATTGATTCATTTGTTTTATTTTTTAGATTCCACATATCAGTGAAAACATACAGTCTTTCTCTATCTGACTTACTTCACTAAGTGTAGTACTCTCCAGGTCCACCCATGTTGTTGCAAATGGCAAAATTTTATTCTTTTTTTACAGCTGAGTAATATTCCATTGTATATGTGCCATATAGATGCCCATTATTTTCAAGATAGCTTTTCAGTTGTTTAAATTTCTGTTTTAAGGAGTAATTTGGTAAATAGTACCGTGAACATAATCAGCATGTTAGAATACTAAAAATATGCACAATCAATAACAAAAAACATTAAGGCTCCAATAGAAGAGTGGTTAATGGTCAGAAACAATTCATTCACAAAGAAAAGGCTAGTAAATATATTTTAAAATTCGACCTCACTAACAAAGAAATAAAAATTTATTACATTAAAATGTGATGGCATGCTCATGTATCAAATTGACAAAGTTTTTTTTTAATGGTACTACTTAGTACTGGCAAACATTTGATAAGATATGTCCTCTCCTACACTGATGGTTGAAATGAAAACTGGTATAACCCCTTTGGAAGAAATTGGCAATCTGAACGGATTATCCACTTTGGGGACTCTATTCTATAGAAATATTCATAAAGGCAGTCAAAGAAATTAAATATAGCATATTTTGTTATAGGATGAGGGGAAAAAGAAAAGAAAAAAAGAAAGAAAAAGGAAGCACTCTAAATATCCAACCAGAAGGAAATATGGCCAGGAAAGTCAAATGTGCTGGTTGGATTTGGGTTACATGTAGGAGGTAGAATTCTACCCCAACCATATGGACTGTAAATGTTAAATAAACAAACAAACAGAAAATACCCACCTACATAAATACTAGCTTGCTTGGGACTTTGTGCTTGTCATTCCCTCTACATGAAATCCACAGGATTTGTTCCTCTACCCATTCTGAGTCTTTGCTTAAATATCACTTTCTTTGTGAAGTCTTCCCTGGCCATTTTTTTAAAAAAATTGCAACCTCTACTCTCCCCCACACTCTGTAGTCAATACTCTTCCATGACTTATTTTTCTTAATAATGCTTGTCTTTGAATATACCATATTCTTTATTGATTTATTTTGTTTATTGCCTGTCTCCCACAGCTAGATTACAAGCTCCATGTAAACAACGAATTTTGTCTCTTTTGTTCTGGGCTACATCCATGTGGCCCACTACAGGGTCTGGCTTATAGTAGTTAGCCAGTAAATGTTTGTTGAATAAATATGCATTTAAACACTAGAGAAAAAATTCAACTTATTAGAAGCATTATTTCTTAAGGGTAAGATCATGGATGAATTTCAGTCTTTCTTTTTACTTATCTGTGTTACAAATCATTACACTACATAAAGTAATTTTTTTCAAACTGCATTGGTCTCCTTACATAATAATTTTATTCTAGTCTGAGGAATGCAACCTTAATGGCTTATTTTTTCCATGGTATAAAACATTTTAATATTTTCAATTTCTCACACATTCATTGAATACAAGATATTTTAACAGGATAGGGATGTTTGTGCCCACAGTTGACCTTATCTAAGATACATAGCTCAACAGTGAAAAGAAATTAAAAGAGAATTCTACTCTTTATTTGTCTCTCAAAAAACCATTAAAATGAATCCAAATATATCATTCATAGTAGTCCTTTTTCTTCTTCTGTCCATATCTCTCAAATCCTAAAAGGCCTAAATCCATCCCTTTTTAATCTCTGTAATTCTTTCAGTTCTATCCCACAAGAGCTCCAAAAACTTGTCCACAAGCTCTGAACTTGGGGCAATGGAGAGGGGGACTTGAGTTGTTCTGAAATTTTTGTTAGTATGTATTGGGATAGTGATAGAAGAGAAATCTGTGAGCGTTAGCATATTGATTCTTTTCATCATATGTATTTATCCGTAGTACCTATCAAATACCACAATAACTTATCAATAGAGATGATAATATTTTGTATACATCTCTTTCTTCCTAGTTTGAGCTGCTTAGAAACTTGTGTATTCATCTAGCACAGCGCTAGCACCTAATAGGCATTCAGCCAATGTCGAATAGATGTCTGAATGACCAAACCTACAAACAAAGGACATATGGTTTCTAAGAAAGAAACAACATATGCTCAAGAAATAAAATCAAGGCATATAGAGCAAAATAATAAACAAACTCCTATAGAAGCACAGAGCAGGAAAATAGTTGACTTTTGAAAGAAGAAAAAGGAAAAACAAGAATGCTTTGGGGAAGGCTTTCACACAGGAGATTAAATTTCAACTGTGTTTTGGAGGATCAGGATATTCCCTTGTAGACAAGAGTGTGGAACTGTTATTCCAGACTGAGGGAAAGGCTTGAGCAGAGATATAGAACTGAAAAGTCCATGGCACTTTAAGGATATAGTTGATTTTTCTGACTGGTAAAAGAGATTGCTTGAGAGAAAAACGACAAAAGAGCCAGGTGGGTAATTTCTGAGCTGGAAAATGTATGACTGCCATGATGAGGAGTTTGATCTTTATTTTACAGATTATGGAAAGCCATTTAAGGTTTATGATTCTAGAAGTGATTTGGGGAAAAAAAAAGATTCCTATCTCACATTTTGGACAATGTTGAACTCCAAATAGACTAAAGACTGTGAAAGTAAACAAATTCCTAAAATAAAATGCAAGATAATGTCCTAATGATTTAAGGTTAAGGATAGATTTTTTAAAAGACCTCCCCCAACCCCCTAATTAAAAAAAATTGTTTCCTTTTCCTTTTTTTGGTAAAATGGACATAATATTGGTACCAGAATCAAAGGTTGTTAGAAAGATTGAGTTAATATGTGCAAAGTGGTTAGAGCTATTACTGGCACATAGTAAACTCTCAATAAACCTGTTATTCTTTGTATGATTTTTATGTCAAAGTTAACATTTTCTGCTCAAGATTCCATTTGCTGAGTTAAAAGAAACAGATTGGAAGAAGAAATTTCCAAGATATATAGAAGACATTTAATATCCATTATATATTAAGAAAAACTCTTGCAAAACAATGAGGACAATTCAGTTTTTTAAATGAGCAAATGTCTAAAATATTAACCCATAGAAGAGGAAACTAGATTATCAAATAAACTTGTGAAGCAACATTCACTGTCACTAATAATGAAGAAATATGAAATTAAAATTGTATAAGATTCTGGATTTACAAAAATTAAAATGTTAGCCAATATGAAGCATTAGCAGAGTTGTAAGGAACTAGGAATCCTTATGCAAGGGCCATGAGAATATGAATTAGCATGGCCTCTCTGGAGAGCAATTCAATAAAACTGAAAATTCCAATACCTCATAAGCCATTGATACAATAGAGATTCTTTTGCACATGTGTATTAGGAGACATAGATAATGTAGTAACCTGAGGTGTTTTTTTTTTAATGTTTCTTTTGTACACAGAGAATATTGCTCAGTCTAGATTCACTTAAAACATTTACATTCAAATATGTTACAAAAATTTTTAAAAACTTAGTTTACTTAAGTTCTTACATTTAGATTATGTATTTTATTAAGTCAAGCAGATTTCAATACATATTTTCAAGTGAGCTTTTGTAACAATTAAATTTCCTTAAATCCTTTAAATTCCATTTATAAGTTTTATCTGTTGGATTTTTAAGTCCTTCAGTTGTCTTAGGGCAAACACATCTCAGACACTTAATGAATTGTTATTAATTTAATCAATTTAAAATATTGAATATGCTGTGTCTTAAATGTTCTTAAATGTTACAGTGCTCTTTACAAATTAATAATATTTCAATCTATGGATTACAAGTCTAAATCAGTTACCCAAACACACATATAAATTAGACTCACAAATTTGTCTGTTAGAAAATCTAGTATGACAAATTCTCACACATAATGAATTCTCAATATATCAAGTGTGTACAAATTCCTTAATACAGAAATATTACAATTACCTGTTTGATTTGCTGCATTATTTCAATATACAATTCTTATTCTTCTTAGGGTAAAAGTAATTTTTTCCAATAAAGAAACAAATGAAACAAAAAGTAGTTTTGGAGATTATTTCCCCAACTGGCTGATACATACTGACGGCAGACATTTAAGGGCATTTTCCTGACAACCTTGGCTGCCAGGCTGAGCCCTGTTTTACGGCTGTTTTGTCACTGCTCTCCGAATGGTGTAGTCTCAAAGCCCATGTCTCCTCAAGTATAGTTATGTATTACCTGCATCTTCCATCTTCTCATTGAAGTCTGCATATCTGCATGTGTTGCTGCATCTGTTGATTGATTTCAACTCACTTATTTACTGTATCATTAATCCTAAATCACTACAGCCTCCTATCTGATAGGACTGTAATTGTTATGGATGCTGAAATGACATCTGTTTGGATTCTGCATATCTCCCAGGGCTTTGTTTAATTTGTTGCTAAGGGTCTGAAAGACATACTAATGAGAAAAGAATGTTCATAACAGCCTTGTTTCTATATTGATAAATTGGAAACATCCTAAATGATCATCAGCGGAAGACTGGATAAATAAAATATGGCACATTCACAGGAGTGACTATAATATAGACTTTAAATGATGTATATTTCAATGTGTCAATATGACAATTTTTGAGTAAATCTTAAAAAAAAACAGTGTTGAGTGACAAAAGCAAATTGTAAGAAGGTAAATGCAATATGTTATGATTTATGTAATATTACTTAAACACAAAAATCAGAACTGTGTCCTTTAGTGGGCATATTTATTGTTAGTAGAAGTAAAGAATATAGACTGAAATGCTGAAAGAAACATGTTTCATTTTTGTGTTTAGATTTAAATCAGTTAGAGATATCTTTTATTTTGAGCAATATACTCTGTAAGCAGAAGGCTAAGCCTAGAGATTCTGAATGTTTTTGACAAACGTGTGTGTGTGTGTGTTATTGACTTCAATGCTGATGAACAAAATTTTAACAAATTATTCTATATGTTGGTAAATAAATTGTTTCTTGATGCAAATAAGTTCTTCATTCTTTTTGGTCATTATATTTTAAGAGTTCAGGGTTATACTTCTGAGAAATTAAACAAAAAATTATTAATCAAGTTTTATGTTACTTACAGCTAACCACAGGCTTAACTGATTCACTTCCACCTTAGCTTTTCAGAGAACAGTTATAATAATAATTTGAAGTCTCAAAGTAATTCATGTCAAGCTATTATTTCCTATCAAAATGTCTTATCAAGTAACATTATGACCTATAATTTCTGCATTAATTTTAACCAAGAGGGGATCAAAATTTTGGAAGTAATGATTTCACTATACAGGAAAGATGTGCAGCAAATTCATGATAAAGGATGCCTCTGGAAGTGAAAGATAGAGAAGAAAAGGAGTGGGGAGGGGTGCAAAGAGAACTTCAACTTTATCAGTGAAGTTTTATTTCTTTTATTAAAAAATATTCAAGGCAAAGGTGACGTTTGTTGATTTGGGGTAGATATGTATTTTACAAAGGTAAAGTCCCAGACAGTACATGCATCTCGTGTGTGGAGCGAAGTTCATTGAGGAAAACCCATGGAGAAAGGATTAATAGCAGTTTTAGGACCACAACACCCCCTCATAGCCTCACTGCCCATCACCCTTTGTGGCCTTGCAAAGCAGGAGAAGGACTTTCAGCTTTGGGCTATGGAGGTTTTAAGTGACATGATTTCTGAAATTCTGGACCCTCCCAATGTGATCAAGAACCAGAATATTATTGTGAAAGGACACAGCAGAACATTGGCTCCTGCCCTATCCTACCAACTCAGGGGTCATGGTTAGTGTTAACATCAGCCTGATGCCTGACATGAACAGGGAGTCAGGTCCAAGCCTTGCAATGATAGCTTTGCAATATAGCTAGCTGCTATTAGCATTTATTGTTGCAGCACCAACTCTCCTGGTACAACAGGGTTTGGTTGCCAGGGGCCTAAGTTTTACATTGAACAGAATTATGGTTTAAGTACTTGGCAGAAGCCAATTTCAATGGAGCGTTGCACAAAGCATCTTCTTTTCTGGAGCAGCTGGTAGAGAATCACGCCTTGATACCATTTCTACTCTTACCTTTCAGTATACGCATGTTAGCCATCTTTTCCTCTATACTTTGAGTGCTTAACTTTTTTCCCCCCCAGATTAAAGGAAAAATAAAAAGATAAGTGAAATCTTCAAGAAATATAAACATACAAGCAACACGACATTTTACAAGTATAAATAGAGTATAATCTTTAGAAATTATGAATCACTCTATTGTACATCTATAACTTTACATAATTTTGTACATCAAGTACAATAAAAAGTTTAAATAAAAAAATAAAAAATTTATATAAATTAATGCTGAGAGACACTGAAGACAGGAAAAATAGACCATTTATTCAATAGATTATTTATGGAATAGGGGCTACGTGACAGGGTCTGTTTTAGGCACTAAGACTACAACAGTGAAGAAATTGCAGTAGTGATCCACTACGTTTGTCCAAGTGAGAGACTGAACTAGAAAGAGGTACGTTTGAGAAGCAACTTGGCAACTGATTTGATGTGTCAGGGCTTAAAGGATGGAGAAGTGCTGAAGAGAGTATAGTATAGACTAAAAGAGAGGAACTGACTTACAGAATATTATCAAGTTTATAAAACACTATCACCTGTGTTAGCACATCTACCTCTTAGAACAATCTTTAGAAGTGGATGTTAATATTTCCATTATACACTCAAGAAAACTTAGGATTCCCAAATATCAGTGATTTCCTCAAGATCACCTTTATTATGTTAGAGAAAATTCCAGTCTTCTTCCAATTCCTGTCTATGTATTTCTTGAAAATCCACCTCCCATCCTTAGTTTCATTCTCTTATATATGATCATTTATCTCTTTAGTACCAAGATCATTATTATTAAATGAAATACAAAACCCACATAGAAATTCAGACATTTTACTCTCTCTAAATCAAGCACTACAGATCAGGAAAGGGCTTAAGAAACCATTATGACTAAAAGTTATTTTACAGATGAGAAAACTGAGGTTTAAACATTAAGGCTAAACAGATGCTGCCAAAATTGTCCCTTTACTGAATCCTTATAAAATTGTTTATCAAACTTCATTAAGAGAGTCTCTCATAGGAAAAAGCAGATTCATACTAGGAAGTAAATGCTATTATTTCAGCTTACCTTGGTTTGTTTCCTTTTTACAGTCTTACTGGATGCCCTTTATATGTGTATCACTAGCTTATAAATTGTGAATGGCATTTAAGAGACTACTTTACCTTTTAATTTGTATTTTATTGCATTGTAATTATGTGACCTTTTTTTTCTCTTTAGGGAGATGTAATAGAAAATTTGCTTCAGCCCAAGTCAAGTCAAAGCATAATTCATCATCAGTAGTATATTTTTTGTTGCTGTTTAAAGGAACAGTGTTTAATATCCAATAGTCTGGTATGTACGCAGTAAACTGGGATTTTGATTTTAGAAAACAAAATATACATTTGATGTATAATGTCCATCAGAATTTAATATAAATTTCATGAACTTTTATTTCAGGGAAATGTGATTAGTTTGTCATTTAAGCTAATTGTAAGAGTTTTGTTGGGTTTTCCTTAATTTTTTGAAACGTATTCCTATTCTTTTCCTTAGTCATATTCCAAGTACATATAAGTACATTATATGTACTTATAAAATGTCCAGATAGGTTAGAAAATTGTTACTCCTTTAGAAGCAAAGCTTGGAAATTACTAGAATTACTTAAACTAGGATCTTTATTAAGACAAAGTTCCATAGACTTTTAAATCTTCTGCTTTCTTAGCTCTGTTTTCCAGGATTTATGAATTTTGCAGATGTTAGTATTATAAGAATATTGGTTTCACATACCCAATTTTAAATAAGAATTTTATCCTCTTAAATCTGAAGCTATAGAACTTTGTTAGACTATTTAACAAGCAAAAGATATGACAGCAAATGTCAGAATTGCACTCTCTGGCCACAGGCACCACACTCCCAATTCAGTGAGAAGAGTTAGTTTAGGACACATCAGGGCACCCTCCTCTACGTGTCCAGAATCTGCTCTTAAGTGGGCCCAGAGAGAAAATAGAAAGTCCCTGATTATTTGCATCAGGATGTTATTTTGTGAAGGGTTCTAGAGCAAGCTTGTGGAAATAGGAGGGGTGGGGGACAGCAACTCCTCCAAATATAGAATGCTAAAGTGTTCCGTGCTGTTTGTTTTAACAAGTCTTGAGACCATAGGACAGTATGGCCTGTGCTATAAACCATTCTAAGTGGAGATGAGAGGATAAGGCACTTGAAAACTCACTTAACTGTCTGAAAAATAACATATATTAAAAACTGAGAATGGACTCATTGCAACAGTGGGGACTACCTTTTACAAGTATCCACATCTTCACAATCCATTTCTTTGACACCATCCTTTACACAAAAGTGAGGCAGTTTTTAGGTGGACTGAAAGCTTAGGTCAGGTTATAAGGCTGATATATTTTTCTACTTGTGTAAGTCATTAACTTTTTTGTCTTTTTAAAACGTTTGGACTTCCCATAGCAGCTTGGATGGCAAAATAAAAATTTAATTGAAAAATGTGTTTCTTTTTATTATAAATTTTTGATCTTTAAAATTTTGTACATATTCTACTGTCATTGCTCATCAAGCCTAAATGAAAAAATAAACCTATTTTATTATTCTTGGATCATGAACTGAACCTGTTCCATCATATAGAATCATAACAACATGTAGCCTTTTCAGATTGGCTTCTTTCATTTAGTAATATGAATTTGAGCTTCTTCCATGTCTGCTCCTGGCATTATAGCACATTCCTTTTTAGTGCTGAATAATATTCCATTGTCTGGATGTACCCCAGTTTATCATTCACCTACTGAAGGATACTTGGTTGCTTCTAAATTTTGGCCATTATGAGTAAAGTTGCTATAAACATCCACGTACAGGTTTTTATGTGGGGTAAGTTTTCAACTTTTTGAGAAAATACCAAGGAGTGTTATTGCGGAATCATATGGTAAGAGTATGTTTAGTTTTGTAAAGAACAAAAAACAAAACAAAACAGAAAAACCCTGAACTGTCCTCCAAAGTGGCTGTACCATTCTTCATTCCCACCAGCAATGCATGAGAGTTCCTGTTGCTCCATCCTCATCAGCTTTGTTATTATCAGTGTTTC